CACCCCCCCACTCTGGCTCACAATGGATTTAATTTAAAAAAGAACCAAAATAATCTAAATTAAAAAGGGTTTTGCACCCTCTTCATCCTCGTCCTTTCTTTGTCCAACACATCCTGGACCAAAATTTCCTCTTTTTTATGGAAATTTTGGTTTTTTATCCCAAAATCCGAGAGCTCCCCAAGTCCCCGGAGCAGATTTTGGTTGTTTTTATAGCGAGTTTTTGGTCTTTTTTTAGAGTTTTTTCCCTTTTTCTCTCCAATTCGGAGTCTTTGGGACGACGGGAGAAAAACTTTGGGTTTGGAGAGGAGAGAAATTGAAATTAAATAAAAATAGGAAATTAGAAAGGGGAAATGGGATGGGGGGAAAAGGAAGAAAAGCAAAAAATGACAACAAAATAAGGAAAATTAAAGGAAGAAAGAATTAAAAAATAAATAAAAGAAAAACGAAGGAAAAAAGTTTGGAAGAGGAGAAAATAATGTTAAAAATAAAGGGAAAAACGGGGGGAAAAGGGGAAAAAAGGAGGAAAAAATATAAATAAAAGTAAAACCAAGGAGAAAAGTTTGAAAGAGGGTAAAATAATATTAAAAATAAAGGGGAAAAGGAGAAAAAAGGAGAAAAAAAAGAAGAAAAAAGGACAAAAAAGAAGAAAAAAAGGGGAGAAAAGGGGGGAAAATATAAATAAAAGTAAAACAAAGGCGAAAGTTTGAAAGAGGAGAAAATAATATTTAAAATAAAGGGGAAAAGGGGAAAAAAAGGAGAAAAAAGGAGGAGAAAGGGGGAGAAAAAGGGGAAAAATATAAATAAAACAAAGGAAAAAGTTTGAAAGAAGAGAAAATAATATTAAAAATAAAGGGGAAGAGGGGAAAAAAAGGAGGAAAAAAGAGGGAAAAAAGGAGTAAAAAGGGGAGAAACGGGGGAAAACACATAAATAAAAGAAAAACAAAAGAAAAAGTTTGAAAGAGGAGAAAATAATGTTAAAAATAAAGGGGAAAAGGGGGAAAAAAGGAGAAAAAAGGAGAAAAAGGAGAAAAAAAGGGCGAAAAAGGGAAAAAAAAATAAATAAAAGGAGAAAGTTTAAAAGAGAAAGAAAAAAATATAAATAAAAGGAGAAAGTTTAAAAGAGAAGAAAATAATATTAAAAATGAAGCGGAAGAGGAGAAAAAGAGGAGAAAAAAGAGAAAAAGAAGAAAAAACGAGAGAAAAAAGAAGAAAAAAAGGGGGAAAAAAGGAGAAAAAAAGGGGAAAAAGGGGGAAAAAATCAAACTAAAAAGGGGGCGGTGTAGAAATCGCAGTTGGTGTGGGAGAGAGCG